CTAGTGGTTTGTACTATGACTCTGGAGACCAGGGTTTCGATCTCCTGCTCAGCCATGGAAACCCACTGAGGCAATAGCAAACCCCCTCTGAAGAAAATGGTCAAGAAAACCCCATGATAAGGTGGCCTCAGGGTCGCCATAAGTAGGAGACGACTTGAAGGCACACAACATTAACGACAAGAAACGTACGTTGGTTGACAAAAAAAGTAAAAGACATTTCCCTCAGAGAAGAGGCGCCTGAGGGAAGGGAACAGGCCACAGCGCCAAAACCAGAGCAGGACTACCATTCCCAGACTCCTCCGCGGCGGCGGAGGCCTCTTTCTTCCCGTCGTGAGGCTGAGGAAACCGAAAGGGCTGCCGCTTTTGCTTCCCCGGCCGCCTCCGCGTCGCCTTTTTCACCTTCAAAGCGTGTCCTAGAGGAGAAGGAAGGGAAGGGGAGCCGAGGGAAGGGGAAACCATCCCGGGCGGGAGGCCAGAGCCTCGTCGGTGGGAGAAAGAGAGAGGGAGAAGCATGAACGGAGGCGTGGAGAGCCTCTTCTCGGAGGAAGTGATCGAGCTCACCAGGGGACCCTCAGGTACGGCGGAGGCCAAGGGCTCAGGAGTGAGCAGGCTGAGAGGCCTACAAGGCTGCATCCACACTGGAGAAATAACCCGGGCTGGAATAACTCTGGAGAGCAGGATTCGATTCCCGGCTCTGCCACTGAAACCCACTGGGTGACCTTGGACAAGTCACACTCTCTCAGCCTAAGAGGATGGCAATGGCAATGGCAAAACTGATCTGAAGAAATGTTGCCAGGAAAACCGCATGATAGGGTCGCCATAAGTCAAGAACGACTTGAAGATACCCAACAACACATCTGCACTGGAGAAATAATCCGATTTGAGACTGCTTTAACTGCCCTGGCTCAGTGCTAGGAAATCCTGGGAACTGTACTTCATTGTGGCACCAGAGCTCTCTGACAGAGAAGGCTGGATGTCGTACAAAACTACAGTTCCCAGGATTCCCTAACACTGAGCCAGGATTGTTTCTGTAGTGTGTTTTGGACTTACATTAATTTTACATTTTATTTAGCCTTCTCTGTCAGAGAGCTTGGTGCCACAATGAACTACAGTTCCCAGGATTCCCTAGCACTGAGCCAGGGCTGTTAAAGCAATCTCAAATTGGATTATTTCTCCAGTGCAGATGTGTTGTTGGATATCTTCAAGTCGTTCTTGACTTATGGCGACCCTGTCATGCGGTTTTCCTGGCAACATTTCTTCAGATCAGTTTTGCCATTGCCATCCTCTTAGGCTGAGAGAGTGTGACTTTTCCAAGGTCACCCAGTGGGTTTCAGTGGCAGAGCCGGGAATCGAATCCTGCTCTCCAGAGTTATTCCAGCCCAACACTCAAACCATCATGACACTGTGCAAATAATGCATTTGACATATTATTATTAGCTTTATTTATAAAGCGCTGTAAATTTACACAGCGCTGTACATACAGTCAATTAAAAAGGAATAAAATAAAATAAACCTGCCAGTGGTGTACATTCTAGGTAAAACAATTCAAAGTGAATACATATTAATACATAAAAAATTCAAAACAAAAAATATAAACAAACAAACAGGTTAAAATAAGCATTGGAGAACAATCATGTAATGTATGTAAATTATAAGCATGTAATTTAACTGCCATGGCTCCTTCCTACAAAATCCTAGGACAGTCTTCCATCTACTTGTACTTTAGTGAGGCGCCTGCACTCTTTGGTAGAGAAGGCTAAGGACTTTGTAAATCTACAAATCCCTGGATTCCACAAGGTGGAGCTACAGCTCTTAAAGTGGTGTCAAGCTGTATTGTTTGAGCAATGTAGATGAGTGATTCCCAGACTTTTGGTCCTCCTGGTGTTTTGGACTTCAACTCCCAGAAGCTTCAGCCAGCTTGGACAAGTCAGGGATTCTGGGAGCTGAAGTCCAAAACACCTGGAAGACCAACGTTTGGGAACCACTGTTGTAGATGCACTCTATGTTTACATCCTATGCTTTAGAATTGGGAAAGTTCTGTTTTGGAAGATGCAGCTCCCAGAAAAGCTACTGGTCTTTACTGGTTGGCAGATTCTGGAAGCTGTAGTTAAAACTATTTTTTCCAGGTTCTGGTTTTAAATTGTTATGCTGAACTGAAGTCTGATGAATAGGAAGGAAGGAGGGATGATCTTCTTTATCTATCTTGCCTCATGATCTTCAGGGTGGAGGGAATTCATTATTTCAATCTAACTCCAGAAGGAACATTAGTGATTGTTTTCCAAGAGGTGGTTTTGCATTTGCCTTTAATTCCCCAACTCCACCAAACAGGAGTGTATTTGAGGATTGTTGTAACTGAATTTGGAGACTAAGGGCCTTTGCAGACTGTCAGAAATAGTGCACATTAAATTGAGGCACTGCCCTAGCTCAGTGCTAGGGAATCATGGGAATTGTATTTTTTTCTGAAACATTGAGCCTTCTCTGTCAGAGAGCTCTGGTGCCACAATAAATTACAGTTCCCATGATTCCCTAGCACTGAGCCAGGGCAGTGCCTCAATTTAATGTGCACTATTTCTGGCAGTCTGCAAAGGCCGTAAGGTCCAAAACACTGCAGAAATAATCGGGTTTGAAACCCCTTTAACTACCCTGGCTCAGTGCTAAGGAATACTGGGAATTGTAATTTATTGTGGCACCAGAGCTCTCTGATCAAGAAGGCTTAATCAGTTCCTAGATTTCCTTAGCATGGAGCCATGGCAGTTAAAGCAGTTTCAAACTGAATTATTTTTGCAGTGTGTTTTGGACCTAATTCAGCATTAATTTTAGATTAATTTTACATTTTACATTCATTGATTCATTGACAGTCTCCCATCTACTGTATATATTCAAGTATACATCAGCCTCATGGACACATATATGATGCTGGTCTCTGGCACATTGGGGAGAAAATCATGCTGGTCCCCCACATGATACAGCTTAAGGAACACTGATCCAGATGTTGTTGGTCTGCAACTCCCAGCATTTATTATTGTCTGCTGGATGTGGCTGCTGGGATTTGCAGTCCAACAACATCTGGAGGGCTGCATAATTTCCACTCCTAGTGCAATTAATAAACTACTTTTTAAAAATTGATTCTCAAAAAGAACAAAATAAACCACACATACACAAATAGTAAGTAGTAATAAAAGAACAAACGGCCCAATTCAAAACACCCCCATATACCCAAACATACAACTAACCATCACCTTCTTCCTGTTACCAATCATTCCAAAAATCCTTATTTTCTTCCTTCTGCCCTCTTCAGTTTACACCAATCTCATCTTTCCTCCTCCTCTCCTCTCTCCCTCAGATCAGTAAACTACACTCGTCCCTCCACATTTACGGCTTTGACTTTTGTGGATTTGATTATTCACAGATTTTATTAATATGTTCTCTCTAGGAATATCTAGGTCCTCCAGTGCAACTTTACAGTCAACTTTAACCAAAAGTCGCACGGAAGGACCTAGAGATTCCTAAAGAGAACACTCCACTTGGTATTTGTTGCTTCTCCAATGCAATTCTGTGGTCAGTGTCTGGCAGATGTTGACCACAGAATTACACTGGAGGACCTAGAAATTCCTAGAGACGTGTTATCCCAGGTAAAAACATGGCGTTTTTGTCATTTTCGGTTTTTCCATATTCACAGGGGTCCTGTGCCCCTAACCCCAACGAATGTGGAGGGATGAGTGTACTTTATAAAACTTATTGTCTTTATTGGATGATAGAAGGGAAAGAAGGAAGAGGGGAGAAACAAACATTTGTTTTATTGTTATCTTGCTTACAGTTCATGTGTTTTTAATTAAATTAACTAACCAAATCACCCTTTCATCCTAAGAAGAGTGTAGTGTAGTTCATCATTGCTGGTTTTGCATTTCACAGACCTGATCATTTTGCTATCATAGCTACTTTGGTGTTTGGTGTTGCTGGTTGCTATCTTACATTAATAAATTAAAGAAAGCAATCCTGAGGGGAATGGATTAAGTGAAAGTGTAGTATTACATATTTGTTGTTGTGTTCCTTCAAGTCATTTCCGACTTATGGCAACCCCAAGGTGAACCTATTAAGATTTGTTCAAAGGAGGTTTGCCATTGCCTTCTCCTGAGGCTGAGAGAGTGTGATTTGCCCAAGAGCACCCAATGGGTTTCCATGGCCGAGCTGGAAATCAAATCCTAGTTTCCAGAATCATAATCCAACACTCAAACAAACTACACCACACTGGCTCTCAGTATTACCTATTACGTTACATACTCTGCCTTAAATACCTGTATTTCCTGGGTGGCTAAGGGGCTGTACAGATGGCCTCTAAGGGGTGGCTCTGTGCCGTCCCTGGGAGCGCTGGATCGGGGCCGCGGCAACTGCATGCTGCAGCCCCGATCCGGAAGTTTGCTACTCCAAAAAGAAAAGCCGCCCTTACCGCTACCGCCATGGCTCTTCTGCGCTCCTTTGGCACAGCATGTCTAAACGCTGCACCAAGGGAGCGCCCCATCCCCTTCCTCAGGACATCAGCGGAGCAACGGCCCATCCACATGATGGGTGCTCCGATGACATCCTTCCAGTTCAGCATCCGCATACGCTGAGCTGGAAGAGGTGTGCCATGCCTTTTGCGGAACCCCTTTTGCGGCTTGCGAAAGGAGCTCTATTTTAGCACTCTTTTTGCAGGCGGTGAAAGGGAGAATCGGAGCCGAGATGTCTGGCAGCCTCAGCCTCAATCTTCTGCTTCCTGGGGCGGCCCAGGGCCACCCGTCTGCATCCCCCCTAAGTACATTGTTGTTTTTTTAAATCCCCCCCCCCCCCCCCCAAGGAGCCAGTGTGCTGTAGTGGTTTGAGTGTTGGACTATGACTCTGGAGATCAGGGTTCACTTCCCAGCTCGGTCATAAAATCTGTTGGGTAACCTTAGGCAAGTTACATGCTTCAGCCTCAGAGGAAAGGCAGTGGCGAACCTGCTCTGAACAAGTCAATGGCAAATCTCCTCTGAACAAACCTTGCCAAGAAAGCCCCATGATAGGTTCACCTTAGGGTCTCCATAAGTCAAAAATGACTTGAAGACGAACTCTTGCACCACCACCTCTCGAAAAACTAAAGCAATAAAATCCAAACATTTTTAAAAGTTCACTGAGCAGCATTACATCAGAGAAATAGAGCACCAAACCAAAATGGGATAACGAAAATGTTTTTCCCTGTCTCTAGTGACATCTAGTGACATCTTGAAAACATTATTTATAACAATACTGTAGCAAACTGCCAGTTGGTTGTAGGCAGCCATCTGTTCTGTAGCTGAAAAAATATATGCATGTTGAGCCTCCCTTAATCAAAATCAGAAAGACTCCAAAATTGTCCAAATGGGTGGCTGAAATAGTGACACCTTTCCTTTTTGATAGTTCAGCGTACACAAACTTTGTTTCATGAATAAAATTACTAAAAATATTGTGTATAAAATTACCTTTAGTCTATGTGTATAAGGTGTATATGAAGCATAGATGAATTTCCTGTTTAGACATGGTTCCCATCTCCAAAATATCTCACGTAAATGCAAATATTCCAAAATCTGAAAAAAATTGCAAAATCCATACCACTTCTGGTCCCAAACATTATGGATAAGGGATACTCAACCTCTCCTTTAAAAAAAAAGTTTGCAGCTGATGTCCGCTGAATAACCACATGAAAAAAGAAACTGCTGCTTTGATGCGTCTCTTTAGTAAGGCCTGGTGTGTATGTGTGCATATAATTGCTCTGTTTTATTGTGTTAATTTCCCCAACCCCCAGTACATATCAGGTTCTTTCATAAATATTGGTATACCATGGCCAAGCTCCTTTTAGTACACTCAGGGCCTTTGCAGACTACCAGAAAAGTGCACATTAAATTGAGGCACTGTCCTGGCTCAGTGCTAGGGAATCATGGGAACTGTAATTTATTGTGGCACCAGAGCTCTCTAGCAGAGAAGGCTCAATGTCTCAGCAAAAAATACAGTTCCCATGATTCCCTAGCACTGAGCCAGGGCAGTGCCTCAATTTAAAGTGCACTATTTCTGGCAGTCTGCAAAGGCCTTCAGATTAGGAAGGGAAAGGAACCTATATGGATAGTGATTACAAGATATGAGCCCAGAGAACGATCTGAGCATTCAACAATCCTGAATCAAGAAATCTCTCAGTAATTTTACTCGAATGTGAAAGCGATACATATGAAGAAGTTAAGTTCTGAATTGAGTTTCAGTCTAACCAGTTAAAAGTTTGCCTATAGACTTTTGCAACTCTAAACAACTGTAATTGGCCAAGATCTACAGTGGATTTTGGTATGCAGTGCTACTGGAACTGGGCTGTTCTTTGCTTCCCTTTTAGTGCTGCACACTCCAGAGTACCAGAAACCTATTCCAGATGTTCACCAGCCTCCCAAAACAGGTTTTATGGTGCATGGGAGCTATAGAAAAAACATGGCATCTTTCAGAAGCAGTAAGATATGGCAGATCTGACTAATGTTTGCCCCATAACTGGAGATGGCAGTTGTGGAGCAAATATTAGTGTATGTTTTGTCCTGTGAAAGCCTCACATTCTAACCTTTTAGCTGTTTTTGGGAGGGAAAACATGCAATTCCCACCACTCTTTTCACGCACACATGTAACACTTTCCTTTTGGTATCCCTACCTTTTGTCTTCCCAAGTTTCCTGGAGTCTTACTCTTTATGTTTATTACATAGGAATTTCTATGTTGTTGTTTTGTTGACTTGTTGTTGATATATCTCTAACCTTTGTATTTGCTCTGTTTTTTAGGGTGAAGGCCAGATGCCTCCCCCCGATGTGTTTAATTTTCCAGTCTTATTACTTGTTGTATTATGTATCACTCAAAATATAGTTACAGCAAATATGAGATATATGGATTTTATTTTGTATTAAATGTATATAATTAAATTTTAGAGGGTTGGTATGCTATGGTGGTTTGAATGTTAGACTAGGGTTCTGGCAAACTGGGGTTTAAATCCCTGCTGAGCCACAGAAACTGGGTGACCTCTAGCAAGTCACACTTTCAGCCTCTGAGGAAGGCAATGATAACCCCCTGATGAACAAATCTTTCCAAGATAGGTTTGTCTTAGGAACGCCATAAATCAGAAAGGGCTTGAAGGCACACAACAACAGCACTAAAATATTATTTATTTATTTATTTATTTATTTATTTATTTATATTCTGCCTCTGTGTAAACTACAACCGTGGTGGCTTACAAAATAGTCTTAAAGGGGCTGCTAGATTTCTTTTTCTCCCTTCCCTTTCCCCGCTTTTCATGATTTATTTTAGCATGACCTTTGTTGATTTTATTCCTCTTCTTCAGACACACTGAAGGATTTAATATCAAACCTCATGTATTCAGCAGTTACATAATTTTGGAGGTGGGATCAGAACATAATAGGGTACAAAATAATGCAGTTTATGACACTGTCTATATACCTTCAAATAGTTTTTGTCTGTCAGGCAGGTTGATGCTTATAATGTGTGAAAATAATGTATCCCCCTTACTAAGGCTGCATTTGCACTGCAGAAATAATCCAGTTCGACACAACTTTTAATTGCTGTGGAATTCTGAGAATTCGTGGTCTTGAATTTCTGTGGACAGGAAGCCAGGAAAGAAATAGTGGTGCGCATGCCCAAGGCACGCATGCCGGGCTGCACGTGGGAGCATGCACCCATTGAAGCCAGTGGGGCTTGAACATTTGCGTTTTTCATTTTCGCGGTCTGTGTGTGGGTCCAGAACGAATCCCCCAGGAAAAAGGAGGGACAACTGTATTTATACATTAGAACTTAGCATTAGAGAAAAGCTCTGATACCTGCCAGTGGGACCATTTTTCCTATTACTAATTGTGGTGAAGATTTTCACTGATATCACAGCTCGATAGAAAAGGGTTGTACTTCTCTTGTAGTGGTTCCACTGAAAATTCCTCCTCTAGCCTTGTATTAAGTTTAAATAAAAATGGATATGGCTGCAAACAGAAAATTAAAATAATATCTGCTGTTTTCCAGAATAGATGGGAATAGCCATTGTTAACTGTTCTGAGTTCCAGATTTTCTTCTTGCCTTGGAGGTTCTCACTGTCCTCCAACTTGCTCTTGTCCTTAGGTCTGGGATTTAATATTGTTGGTGGGACAGACCAACAGCACCTCTCCAGTGATACTGGCATCTTTGTTAGCCGGATCAAAGAAAATGGAGCTGCTGCACTGGATGGTCGCCTACAGGAAGGAGACAAAATTTTAACAGTAAGTAGTTGATTGAATTGAATTGAATTGATATCCCCTTCTCCTCAAGTGGGATTTAAGGTTGTTTACAATATTTTTCAAAAAGGTTAAGCTCAAATATTAGGTTGTTGTGTGCCTTCAAGTCATTGCCAACATACAGAGACCCTAAGGCCGTGTTGGTGAACCTATGATACACGTGCCATTTGTGGCATGCAACCCGGTTCATGAGGGCACAGGGCCCACTGGAGGTAAGAGTGGTGGGGGGGCACATGCATGGCCCACCTCCTTGCCACAGCCTGGTTTGCCCCAAGACAATTGGCCGTTGCAAGGAGAGGTGGGAAGACGCACACTGCTAGCCAGCTTTTTGCAGCGGACCGGGTTTCCCCTGGAGCTCCACTCTGGGCTCACAACAAACTACAATTCCCAGAATTCCCAAACATGGAGCCATAGCAATTAAAGCTGTGCCAAACTGGATTATTTCCCCAGTGTGGATGCAGCCTTGGAAGGGCTGGTGTTTGGGGCAGCGGGCAGGAACCGGGTGGCTGAGGAAACTGAAGCCCCAGCCGTTCCTCTGCCTTCCCCACCCTGCAGAACCGAGTCCAGGCCTCATGATGCATGAAGCCTCATCTTTCCCCTCGGAAAGGGTAGCTTCTCCTTGGGCAACCCTTGATGCGGGGAGGCGAGAACTGGGCTTGGTGAGCAGCAGGACTGAGGCGCCTTTGCCTAGCCTTCCCTCCCTTTGGAAGTGCTCCCTGGTGGAGCCTGCTTTCCCCTGCTGCCAAGTGTTGAGGCTGGGGAGGAGGATGAGACTGGGCTCCGGATGCTGTTTCCCGGGGGCTTGTGGTGGCTGCTCTGCTGCAGGCAAGGCTTCATCTTGCTCCTGACAGATGGCGAGGTGAGGAAAGCGATGGCCGAGAAGGAGGAGGACAAGGAGGAGTCCTTCAAACTGTGTAGCCAGGAAGACTGCCAGGTGGACTCTGCAGAGAATCAGGGCAGGAAGGAGCCCCTCAGTCCCTGGCCAACTGTCGCCCTGTTCTGCAGGATAGGGCCTCACTGTCCAGGAGGACGAGGCACCATGAAATGGAGGACATTTGAGAGAACATGACTAAATTCAAAAGCTCAAAAGACGCACAGAAATATAAAATTCATGCTTCTTAAGTAATGCTCAAAATGGACAGGGTGACCAGACTTGTTCCTCCTTTTTTCCAAGGGCACATCCTCCATTTCTGCCTTCTGCCCAGAAGGAATTCCATAACGTCCTCCATTTTCACCACAGTTAAGAAGCATGGATTTATATTTATTTATAGGAATGTTTTTTAATTTTAGTTTGAATTGCCCTATGTTTTTCTGGATTGTGTTACCTTTTGCAGTGCCTTGTCC